ACCGCGAGCAGGCTCTGAGCAAGAACACAGCACAACGGCCCCAGTCAGCTGGGCTCGAACCCAGACCCCTCGATTCAGAGTCCACTGACCATGCGGTCACTTTGTCCTCATACAAGCTGAGCCAAGAATTACAAACTGGGACGATTATAACAAAGCGCGACAGCACACAATATTTTGATTCATTTGAATGCCCTGGTTCTAAATCCAAAAAGTTTTAATTCTCGGTTCTAAAGAATGAAAATGAAAGAAAATATTCATGAGATTACAAAAACATACATATGAAATTTCAAGTTTTCGGTATACTTTATTAGAAAAAAATTAACTGAGTAATGATAATTTAAAATAACAGAAATAGGAAAGAATAATTTCTACGGTACAAACGTGTTTTTTTTAAGTCTAATTTATGGAATAATTTCAAAATGTTCAATTTTAAAGCTTGACAGCTGGTTCAAGCCATTGTCTCGAATCTTCCTTTGCATCAGCATAAATGAAGCTTGGGACAAACCTGTCCTAGTTCTTGACAGGTAAATTAACTTCCTGTTTTCTCACACTGTCCTTTCAACGAATTTCTGACTTGTTTTACAAGTACTGATGAATTTATTGTGAATTGCCCTAAAAACGACTCCTGCTTTGAAAACAAAACATTTAAACACTACGATAAATTTGAAAATGAAAATGGGTGTCAACTACATAACTTTAAACAATCTCTTTTCTGCTAAAGTGGATCTACAGTTAGGCTTTTTCGCTTGTCAGGTTTAAACAAGGAAGATATCGTTCATTATTCATCACGCAGGTGTGCGTATTTACATTAAAGAAACCGTCTCCCATCCACTTTCGTCCAACCAGAAAGGAGTTTATCCTGCAGCAGAACTTCACAGGTTGAGACTGAAGCGTTTGCTCCCACGAAAAAAGACACAACAAAACAGGTAAAATGAGCCTAAATTATCAAATACTCAATTTTCTGTTGTAAGAAATGTATCGTTGATGTCTTAATATATCATTTACGTAGACGTCTCTTACTAGTCCTAGCTTACTTTTCAGTGTTTACCCACAAGAGGAAGTCGCAGTTTACACAAGCAAGACAAACCCTTCTGGTAAGCCCTTCCATCTATCGCATAATTGTAATATGTTTTTGGTGAAAAAAGTAATCTTGATAATTTTCGATTCATCAGAGGTATATATAATGTTTCCAGTGGTATAGTTTCATATTTATTGATTGTTGCCTAAGTATTCAGACTTAAAAATTATGGATTTTTCCTCCTTGCAGAAGGCATCGGGAACAGTAGTTCAAAACGAATTCGGTTTTAATGCTTAAACACGGAGCGAGCCTAAAAAAAGGCAAGGACACCCCACCTTTAAAGCACTTTGTTGGTCTTTTTGTGTAAAGGTGGAAAGCCGAAATAACGGTCGCACAACGGTAGAAGTCGTGAAGAAAAAGCGTTTTTTTGTTAAAACAAC